CCCCCACACACACACAGGAAGGAATCAGGGCACGTGGGTCCTTTCTCGACAGTCTCCAATCCTTGCCCTTCCTCCTGTGCCTTCTGTGCTGTTATCAGACTTCTCCTGGGTTTCTCCGGTGAGGGCTGAACCCATACTGGGCTCTAGTTTTCAGAACCCAAAATGTCAAAAGTGTCGTATCTTGGAATACGGATTCATACATTTGATGAATTTCTCCAGCAATTTCAAGCTGGAGAACCTCAATTCAGGCCACTTCTTGGCCAGCAGATGTCCGACAGAAACTCAGCCTGAGGAACTCAGAACGCACGCCACAGGCTCCCTGGAGGCACAGTGGAGATGGCAGTGTGCTCCGTATAATAATTCCCAATTCCTAGTGGTTTGAGCCAAAGTGTTCTTCCCTTAAGAGCTGATGGTAGTGGACTTGACCTTTGGCTTCCCTGAAACAGAGCATCAGTGCTTACGAATAATGCAGTCGCCCTGGCCAAGGGCTATCGTGTCTCAGTGGGATGGGGGGACACGCCCAGAGGAGACCCATGTCTTAAACACACAGGAAGCGTATTACTTTTTGCATCCTTCTGGCTCCACCGCTTGGTGCTGGTTGTACCAGGAGCCCCGGAAGAGTCCGGAAGTGCCAATTCAGGCTCCTAATTCCTTGCAGGTGCAATGCTCCAGGACTCCCAGATGACCACACAGCTTCACAGCCACTCTCTCCTCTGACTCTCACAGTGTCCCTCTGAGGTCTCCTAGGCAGCATCGTTATCCCCATATTACAGATGAGGAAACTGAGGCTGAAGGGAGTTAGGAACTCCCCCAAAAGGTCCAAGCAAGTACGAGAACCCAGGTCTCCTGACACCAGGAGGTCACAAAGGAGACAGCGGGTCAGGGCTTTGGAGCAGACTCAGGAGACTTTGCCACACCTGTCTCGCGAACCGACAGACCAAGCAGGCCAAAAATCAGTCAGGCCAGGGTTGACCTGAACAGCACTATCAGTCCACTAGACCTAGTTGGCATGTATAAAACACTCCATCCAACAGCCACAGCAGAATATTCTGCTGTTCACATGGAACACTCGCCAAGACAGGCCACATTCCAGACCAGAATACACACCCTACCAAACTTAAAAGAACAGAAATCATACCAAGTATGTTCTCAGACCACAGTGGAACTGAACTAGAAATCGAGAACAGAAAAGATCGCTGGAAACTGCCCCCCGCCAAATACTTGGAGATTCAGTAACAGTCTTCTAAGTAACACTCGAGGCAAAGAAGTCTTGAGGCGCCTGGGTGGCTCAGTCGGATAAGCGTCCAACTTCGGCTCAGGCCATGATCTCACTGCTTGTGAGTTCAATCCCCGCATCGGACTTTCTGCTCTCAGCACAGGGCCCGCTTTGGACCCTCTGTCTCCCTCTCTCTCTGCCCCTACCTACCCCACTTGTACTCTCTCTCTCTCTTTCTCAAAAATCAATAAAAAACATGGATAAAAAAGAAGTCTCAAAATGGTTTGGGAGTAAGACAGAGTTGGGTCCCAATCCCAGCCCTGCTTCGTCCTGCCAGGGAGCCTTGGTCAGTTACAACCTACTGCTTGGAGCCTTCTCTTGTTTCCTGAGCCGGGAAGCGAGGACAATGCCATTCCCTCCCCCGGGTGGCCCTAGTGGCCAAGGAGGCAGCAGGCCCCTAACTCAGGGTGCACAGTGTCCCCTCCCAGAGCACACACAGTGGCAGTAGCTCTCTGGGGGTCACTGTTTCTCCAGGGCTGTGACCCACCACCCGGCCGTCCTGGGGTCCCTGGGCCCCCCGGCTAGCTCACTCCGCCAGAGAAAACCAGATGTGACCGCTAGACGCTGAGCCTTCTCTCCTCCATATCTGGCTGGCAGCCACCTGCCTGGGCAACGCCAACCGGCAGAACTCTGTGTCCATCCATCCCCACCAGGTGGTGACTGCCACCTGGAATAGTGGCACCGAAGACAGGGCTTCTCCCAGTCACGGGGTGCGAGATGACTCAAGTGCTAGATGAGCTGCTGAAATCTCACCCGAGACGATGTGAAAGGGAACCGTCCCGCAAACCTCGCCAAACCCTGAGAAGAAAACAGCTCGTCACACACACAGGCCTACCGTCTTCTTCTAAAGATCTGATTGCACAACTAATGAAAAAGATGTTTCCTGAGGCCTGAAGGCATTGCACAAGCCTCTGACTCACTTAGGGTTTATTCAAATCTGAAAACTATCAAAAATTCCAGCCACAACAACGTGCCCTCCGAAACCGGCATGTGCCCAAGGGCGCAGGATCAGCCCCCGGTGAGGGAGTGGGCCATGGTCACGTGATGCTGGGGAGGCCCGTGTGCATGCAATGCACTTACTTGACAATTTGTCCCAGGAATCTCAAATAATAGGGTAGCCGGTAGGCTCCCACACTTCGATGTGGCAAATCTTTCCATGTGAGACACTCCCAAAACAAGGATTATTCAAGAAGCTCTCAGGGCTTCTAAACACTGCCATCTCCTGAGCGTCACAAAGTCCCTCCAGGCAGGGTTAACAAGGGGACATCTGTAAAAGCTCAGGTGTCCCAGCTCTTCACTCAAGAGAAGTCACACAGGGGCACCTAGTGGCTCAGATGGTTAAGCGTCCGACTTTGGCTCAGATCATGATCTCCCTGCTGGTGGGTACAAGCCCCGCATCGGGCTCTGTGCTGACAGCTGGGAGCCCAGAACCTGCTTCGGATTCTGTGTCTCCCTTTTTCTCTGCCCCTCCCCCACTCATTCTCACGCTCTCTCTCTCTCTCTCTCTCGAAACTAAATAGGAAGGACGGAAGGAAGGAAGGAAGGAAGGAAGGAAGGAAGGAAGGAAGGAGAAAGAAAGAAAGAAAGAAAGAAAGAAAGAAAGAAAGAAAGAAAGAAAGAAAGAAAGAAAGAAAGAGAAAGAAAGAAAGAAAGAAAGAAAGAAAGAAAGAAAGAAAGAAAGAAAGAGAGAAAGAAAGAAAAGTCACACACTTGTCAAATGATACATAGGCAAGGACCAGGGGGTTCACGGGGTAACAGGGACAGTGGCGTCTGAGTCCCTCTGCCCAGAGAAACTTTCAAACATATTTACTGGCAAATTCCAAGTCAGCTTCCAGGACACATGTCCCCCACCACCTTCCTTCTCTGCGAAGCCTTCTGTAACGCACCTGCCCACCTCATCCCCAGGAAGACATGATCCTTACAGCACTCGCCCCGCCGAGCTGACTCCCTGTTAGATGTCTCAAAAATGATGACTGTTTCTATTATTACAGCTAATGCTGATTGGGTCCTAGTAACGCAGCAGGTACACTTCTAAGCACTTCATATAATTAGGAGCTTCCACCCCCTGGCAACCCAAGGACATATGTACGCAGGTACTATTGTTTTTATTATTATTCCACTGACGAGGAAACTGAGGCTTACAGAGATTACGTCACACACACGACGTCCCACGTTTAGAAAGTGCTGATCCGACTCCTGAGGCCAGGTATCGCGTGATCCAGCACGAAGTCCTTGAGATCGTGGGCTGCTAGCCTTACTCCCTTCGACCCCCTTCTGAGTACACAGTAGGTGTTCCATAAATGCTCTGAAGAAACTTAGAAATAGAATCCACGTCACTAATTCCAAACGCTAAATTCTGTACCCTCTGAGCAGCAAGTGGCCTGGCCTCTTCGCTGCCACTCATTTCGGTCTGGTGCTGTGTTATCCTAGCTGGTGACCATCGGTGGCTCTAGACACATGTCACCCAGCAGCACTGGGTCACACCAACTTCCCTATCACTTCTGGGGGCCTTTTGAAAAAGCATTTGGAATTGGTACCTGTCTCAGTTCCTCTGTTGATGTTAATTCTACCTCCCTTTCTTTCTTTGCCTTCTTGCCTCCTTTCTTGCCTGCCAGCCTGCCTGCCTGCCTGCCTGCCTGCCTTCCCTTCTTCCTTCTTCTTTAATGGCAAGGAAGGTGGGAAAGAAAGATGAAATGACTCGAGAAGGATCCCACTCCAGCCCAGCCGTGGGGCCTCTGGGAAAAGCAGGGAGAGGCACCAGGTTCACTGGAGCTCACATCTCAGGGGTGGGCATGTCACCACGATGGTCAACCAGGGATTTTCCCCAGCCAGCAAAAGCTAACGTACAAGGGAACCAGGCCCAAGATGGGCCACGTGACCACGGGTTTTTAGATTAGTTTTCTTACAAGAATCACAGACCATTCCAGCTAGAAGGGACCTCAGAGATCATCTGGCCCAATCCCCTCATTGCTGAGGCTCTGAGATGTCGGGGGCTGGTCACCTGGTGAGGTAACAGTCTAGGAAGGGTCAGAGCCAGGGGCCAGCCCGCCAGTCCCTCCACACCAGCTGGCCTTCCAAGGAACCCTCAGCCGCTGCCAAGCTTGATTTCTTCTTCAAACTAAGCCCGACCAGAGCTATTTATTCACTTGATATACAGGCCCATGGAAAGTCTGATCTCTCAATCCAAGGCACGAAACAGTGTCCAGGATCACACAACTCCAAATGGACTCAGAATCCAGCCCCGCAGTCCGGAGGCTGTCGGACGCCTGACCACAGTTAGCTCATGGTCCCCACCAGAATCGCTTACTGAATGCGGTTATTTTAAGCTCTAATGCAACCTATTTACAGCTCTTCTGGACGGAATGAAATAACTCAAACGCTTGGCTTTCGACACTGTTAACTTACTAATTTTGTGAAACTTTAATATTTTAACTCTTTAGCAAAACCGACAAGAGAATAAAGGCAAATAACCAACCGGAGAGAGCAAAGCCTTCTAAACCGTGGAAAAGACGGTTCTTCTTCCAAGCTGGTGGCTCTTTACCAGGAATGCACAGCCAGGCTCCACCTCATCAGGGTGGGGGAGGAGAGATTTGGGGGGCGGGGGGGGGGGGGGGACGGCGATGTTGGGACCAGGACCAGAACGAGGACGGGAGAGCTCCAGGCTTGTCTGGGCTGCCGTTTGGGGTGGGGTGGGCTCTCCTGGGGTGGGTACTAGGGGTAGAAACGGAGTAGCCTGCTGCTTTGAGAAGTCTTTTTCAGGCCTCTTTCCTGGCTTCTCGTCCATTTTTAGCAGAGATCTGTAGTGCTGGCTAGTCTTTTGCAATGTCTGGGAATCCAGAGGGGACTTTCTCTCCCCAACAGCAGTCTGGGGCCGAGGGTTCTGGTTTGGAAACATCTCTCTTCCAGCCCCTTCTGTTCTTTTGCTTTTCTGTAGCAAAAGTTGCACTGACGGCAACTGGGGCAACCATGTCCTTCAACTCTCGTGCCTGTGGAATGAGAGCTGGGAGGTGTCCTACATTTCATGTCAAGGCCATGGCCATCTGGAGCACTGTTTATTCCAGCTATTAGCCGCGGCTTAGCTGGAGCTGGCTTATAATCTTAGTTTCTCTGTCAACAGCACAGCATGGTGATTATGAATGCACCCTGGACCAGATGCATGGGTTCAAGTCCTGGACAAGGAACTTCTCTGTGACTCTGTCTCCCAGTTGGGACACAGGGAAGATTAGAGCACACTCCTCACACGATTCTAGGAGGGTCAAATGGGCTGACACATGCCTGGCACAGAATAAGCCCTAAATATATGTTAGCCTTTATTATTATACTGTTATATTACTTGCAATTCCTTTCTCCGTTATAATTTCCTGACAGCAGCAAATTTTTGCTTTAAATGAATCCAAGCTGTTAGTGGTGAAAGATGAGAGATCTTTGTTCTCATACTTGGACACTTTCCCATCCAAACCCTGACAGCAGCATTATTTCTTTTTTTTTTTTTTAATATTTTTTTAATGTTTATTTATTTTTGAGACAGAGAGAGACAGAGCATGAACAGGGGAGGGGCAGAGAGAGAGGGAGACACAGAATTCGAAGCAGGCTCCAGGCTCTGAGCTGTCAGCACAGAGCCCCACGCGGGGCTCGAACCCACCGACCACGAGATCATGACCTGAACTGAAGTCGGCCGCTTAACCGACTGAGCCACCCCCGTGCCCCGAGATTTCTGAAATAGATGAGTTGGCTTCACCTCCAGAACCATTTTTAGGAGACGCTGTCTGAACTCTTCGTTAAACAGCTTACAGATAAAAGTGCTTTCTTGTCAGTGGTGACACGTTCCCCCATCCAACCATCCACCATGATTCTAAAGAGCCGCTCAACTCAGGGCCCGCTGGTCTGCGGGCATTTCCTCCTGGCTCCCCGCTCGCTCTCTGCTCCAGACAAACCCTCCAGAGGATCTCGGAGATCATGGAGCCCGCTCCTGTCTCGGGAGCTCCTTCCCCACATCCGTGCACGGCTCCCTCCAACTCCAGGCCTCCCGCGATCACCCCAGCGAAAAGAGAGAGCATTCCCGCCAACCCTCTCGGCCAGAACTGGCTGCCAATTCACCTCATTCAACAACGACGTCAAGTGACCTGCTCGCCGGCCGGGCTTCCACTGAATGAAGTCTTGGCTCCCAGGCTCCGGTCCGCAGAGGCACCTCTGGGAAGTCAAGGGTGGAGTGCTAGATGGCAGAAGTGGAGCGCGGGTAGGCAGCAGATGGGAAAAGCAAGGCCTTCCATTAGGGGAAGTCTGGATGGCCCTGTGTCTCAGGCACCTCTTATTTCCTGATGCATTCACTTATTCATTCATCACCTGCCCACATACCTACCGGGTGCCTCCCGTGTGCCAGGCAGAGAAGCACACGGCGTCTGACACACCGCAGCGCTCAATAAATACTTGCAGAGAAAAGGGTGAGAATAGCCTCGCCCCCTCTTGTCTCTCTCTCCTCTCAAGGCCGCTGTCTGGGAGCCTGATGTGGGCCTGATGGCCCACGGACAAGGACCTGTTTCTCTCCACACGGCGACTATTAATGCCTCTGCCAACTACAAAGCTCGCTAAGTGACTCCACGGGCAATAAATCAGGTGCTCAGACGGTGCCAATGACTCAAGACCCCGAGCAGTGAGACTACACACAGGAACAGCTGGCTTGTTTTTGACAAAAATATGCCAGATGCTTTTTTCAGTGTCGTCACCCCACACCCAGACTATTGCAGTGGCCCTCACTCCGCACCCTGGCGAGTTCTGCGCTCCGGTGCTAGGTGAGTCCTACGCCGGGATTTCTTTAAGCTGCCCCTGGTCCAAGAACATCCAAATACACAGCACAGCCGGCCTCTTCAGGCCCGGGACTCTGTGCCACCAGCCTGAGTCACTCTCGCTGCCCGCCCCTAACGTCCCCAGCCACACCAATCTATTCACCAGCTCCCAAGCAAGTTTCAGGCTTTGCCCAGACTGAGCAGGCCGCCGGGGATGCACTTCCCGGCCTTCCGGAAACTTCCGTCACCCCGTCTGACCTCTCTTTCTCAGCCTTGGGGTTGAGCACTAGGCTGGCACCAAGGAAGGCTGTCTGGGTTCAAATTCCAGCTGAGTGGCCGTGGGCAAGTAACTGAGCCTCAGTTCCCCTATCTGTGAAACGGGAATCTCACACCTGTGCACTGTCACAGCCATACCTCAGTCGCTGTTGGACCACTTCTCTCCGAGGGAGGTCTCCTGCCTCCCCCCTGGCTAGGCTCTTTCCTGAGGGCAGGCCGGGCTCCCTGCTCCCGTGTTGCTGGAATACACAACCTCCAATTTCTCCTCCACAGCTCTGGCACCTTTCTCTGCGTGGGAGCCAACCTGTGCCAGGCCCTAGTTGGTCGTGTTGGACCATATTTCTCCAAAGAAAATCTAGACCACTTCCTGGCGCTGGGCTCCCCTGCCTCCCTCCCTCTCCATGCACTGCCCGCGGTAGGAGGCTGCGGCCAAGTGCGCTGCCAAGCACAGCCGGCCCGTCCCTACACCGCTGGATTGGCCGCAGCTGAACTCCGTATTGTTTTTCCACATGGTCTCTCCGCCTGGAGAAGCATCCCTCTGGAAGGTCCCGCGAGAGAGACAATTTCCCCACCCTTCGCTGGGTCACCGGCACCTCCCCAGCCAGGACGGGTCTCGCTGAGCCAGAAATGATGCGAAAGTAAGGAGGAGGGGTTCACTTCTTCATCCCTAACCCGCCTCCCCCCACCCCTTCCCCGCCTCAGATTTCGCGATCCAAAGTTCCGTTCCGCTTATTTACAAAAAAAAAAAAAAAGCCACTTTCATTTTTGTAGGATTGGCTCAAAACACGGGAAGCAGGCAGGCGGCCACGCCGCTGCAAAGGGTTGCATGGTTGGCAACCCAGCGAGATCATCTGGGGGAACCGCGGAGCGGGCGGGAACACCGTTCCTTTCAAATACAAAGTTGCTGAAAGTTTCCGGACAGATCCATCTGGACAAGACGAACGCACGCTTAACTCTAAAGGCGCCAGGGGGGTGGGGGGCGGAATGCAGAGAAGTAGAAGGAAGGCAAAGCGACAGAAATGAGTCCTGGCGGTCCCGACGCCTCCGGCACAAGGCACCTTTCCCAATCCCTCTCAACCTACGCTATCACCCGTCTCGTTTGTCCGTGTTCCCCCGGGGCGTTGTGGTACTTCGCGGGCACCCAGCAGCCGGGCCAGCGGGACGCCCCGTCACCCTGGCCCGGGGCTGCCGAGCGCGGGCGGCACCCGCCGGGCGGAGCCGGCCCCGCCGGGCGCAAGCTTGTCCCCAGGGGCTCGCGGAAATCACTTCACCGGGGGTCCGGGGTCTCGCCTCGCAGCAGGGGAGTTCAACACCCCGCGACGCCTGCCGTCCCCTCGTCTGGCCGACTCGGGGCCGATGGCGAGTGGGGAGCCCCGGGATGCAGGCAATCTGATGCCGCAGGCGCTGCAGGACGATGACCGAGGCTGGTGCAGCTCTCGGAGCGGTGGTGGCTGGCGGCGCGCAGCTGGCACAGGTTGGCGTAGGGTGTTGGCGTCGCTGCCGCACCGGTCGGTTGTTGGCGCACACGCACAGGTCATGCCCATGGCGCCGCCGCACCGTGGCCGAGGCGTGGGAGCACCCCGAAGGGCGGCACGCGACCGTAAAGCCCCGCTTATCGGCCCTCCCGTGCGGCCGCACGTTGCTCCTCTTCGGGCGCCGCACACCCGTAGCAGCCGCATCGGCAAGGACGCGGGTCGCCTTCGCAATGCGTGTCGGCGGCGGGGAGCAGCGCGGCGGGTTTCCTGCAGAAGGCCTGGGCATCCGGCGGCGGCGCAAGCGTCTGGCCTGGGATAAGTCAGGCGGCGCCGCGAGCAGCAGCAGCAGCAGCAGCAGCGGCGGCGGAGGCACGAGGCGCGCGGGGCTGCATGGCAGGTTCTTTGACGGCGGCGGCGGCGGAGCCGGGCGCGGGTCGGAGAGCGGCGCCGAGAGCGGAGGGACTAGGGGATGGTGCGAGAGAGATACAGGGGTCATGGGCGGTCTAGCCTGGTCTTCACAGACGAGCCGCCTTGGGGATCGGGCACGGCGGTCGGGGGTGCGGACGGGGGCGGGCGGGCGGCGAGACAGAAAGGCGGGGACTGCGTGCGGGCAGGCGGGCGCGCCAAGCACTATGCTCAGTGCGGGGATGGGCGGCGCGGTCCGTCTGCGGGTTGAAGTCCGGGTCTTCCTTTGCGGCCCCTCCCGCCCTCCCGTCCGCTGCGGGTTCCTAACGCCCCCCGGCCAGTCTAAAACCAAAGGAAATTGCTGGGAATTCAGTGGCGCATAAGAAAGTGGCGCAACGCGTAACTGGAGGGAGCCCCAGATTGGCTGCCGAGCTGGGACCTGCTGGCCCTCGGTCATGCGTCTCAGAGGAGGGGACGGCACTTCCCTGGCCTGGACCCCTCCCCCCGCGTCCCACACATCGCGCGACCGACCACGACCAGGTCCTGCAGCCTTGCGAGGAAGGCGGGGTTGGCGGGAAAGGTGGCTGTGACCCACGTTACGAAAGCGCGAGCCGAAGTAATTAGGAATACACTGCGGCCAGATTCCTTTGAAAGTTGTTAATCTGGTGGGAAGTGTGCTTGTCAGGCTGATGCACGGAATAACCCGGAGCGTAGACGCGAGTAGCTGGCAGTACCCGGGGCGGGGTAAGTCCTAAGAGAGAGGGGCTTGTAGCTGCCGCCACCACGTGCATGATTATCTCAACGTTGTTGTCACTTCCAAAGGAAAGTTCACCTGATCTTCCACCTGAGAGTCTTCGGTGCTTCCTTTGGGACAGATGCAAGTCAAGGCATCACCTGGAGGGGCAGGGGCGACTCCCTCGGAGGGCGTGGATCCCGTCCCGGTGGCGCTGTGGCCTGGCAAGTCGGCCTCCGGGCCGATACTCAGCAGATGGACAAAGCTTACACCTGAGGCCCCGGGAGGAGACCGGTTCGCACACGCCCCGCCCAGGCAGATGCCGCAAGGGAAGGATCTGGCTAAGGAAACCACCCTTGGGGTGGAGTAGGTGTGGGAAGGGGCACAGGAGGCTTAGGGATTTTGCACTTTTTTTTTTTTTTTTTTTGTATTTGGGTGGTTCCCGTGTGCACGGGATGTTTTTCCAATAAAAATAGTTTTAAAAAGCAAAATCCAAATATTTATAACCGCCCCCGCCCAAAGCACCTCCCAAATGTGAGCCAATAGCATCCAGGATCCAGAGGGGTACCTGGGACCAAGAGTTGGGAAACAGGAGGTCCAGCAGCCTGGACTTCTAGAAGGACATTAGCACAGGATTTCCTAAAGCCACAATCTTCATCCTTGTGTAAAGGGAGACCTTGAGCCAGAATTCACTCAGTCCCTGGATACTGGAGAGGGGCACAGCATTCTGATTAGGGGTGCTGAGCGCCTGGCTAGCTGTGATTACCCAAAAAGGGGGATGGGGGGGTGAGGGGAATAATTAGCAAAGTGGATCAGCCAATAAAGCGTCTCCCCACTGCAGCCCAGTGGGCAGATACGATAAACTTTGGCCTGCGGTAGTGACTTCTTTGCGTCCAATACTCTCGCTTTGCAGATGAGCGAGAAAACTGCGAGCCAGCAAGGGTAGTGTGACTCCCCCAGGGTCACACTACAAGAGTGATACAGCCAGGACCCCATCCTCCACCCTCCAGCCAAGCTGCGGGAGTGAAATAACTGATTAAAAATAAACTGCATGCTGGGAATGGGTCCTGGCCTTTTCCCCATCAGAGGCCAAGTCCCTGCCAGTTTCAATGAGTCCCCATCACCCCTTCCCCCTCACTCCATTCTCCACCCCTTTGCCCCGCCACACACACCTGACTCCCCCAGTGCTGAATAACTTGCATTTTCTGGAACATACCTTCTCCTGTTGAAAGTCTTTGTGTCTCTGCCCATGTTCTTCCCTCCTCTTGCAATGCCCTTCCTCCTCGCCAGGGTGACTTAAATGTGACCTAGTGAAGCTGGCAGGAGCCGTGTCGTCTGATGAGTTTGGGAGTCAAAGTCCCGCTTCTGGCCCTTAATTCTGTGACTTTGGGCAAGTTATTTAAGAACCTCGAGAACTTCACCAGGAAAATGGGGGTGACTACGCATCCAGTGGCTAAAAAAGGGTGTTTGTGGCAAGGAAACCGCCCCTGTAATGGTTTACAACCCGGAAGTGATGCTCGCAACGGCGGTGATCGGGAAACGCAAGCCAAGGAGTGGAAGGCTGAACGGCGCCCGACAAGCAGAACTGACAATGCCCAAGGTTCTGGAAAGACCGTGATCACATCATACCATCTCCCCCGCCCCGGTGTGACTACAGTTCACTCACCTGCTCTTGCGTTAACGGGGATCGCTGAGAAGACAGCTCATAGGAGGGCCCTCGCCCAAGACCTTCGACTCTGAGTTCGAGAAATTAAAGATCCACCGGATGGATTATGGAGATTTTTTGCACTGTCCACTCAGGAGGGTGTCCTGTGTGTATGTGCCCCTGCGTGTGCCCGTGAGCGTGCATGGGTTGAAGGACACGGAATAATACAATTGAAACCAGGTATTCCCTTACTCCTAGCATTTCCGGATCTAAAACTAATGCTTTTGGTCCGAAAGGACTAGTCTTTCTTTTCTTTGTCTCCCCACCCTGATGCCATGTATAATGACAGTTTCTTACAAGATGCGTGTTTCAAATACATCATGAAAACTCATTTCGCACCGGGGCTTGGCACGGATTCCTAGAGAAGATTTTTCCAGGGAAAAGGGAGTCGTTTGGAAGCTACGTAGGCCCTGCTATCTTCTCTGCGGCCCAAATTTGCAGCCATTAAACCTTAATGTTGAACAGAGTCAAGTGTATTCATGAATAATGAACAAATAAAACACCATGGCTGACAAAGCCTCCATTAGGAAATGAGGTTTCTGAACTGGCACAGAGCAACCATGTCTGTGCTGCCCCCAAAGAGAAAGATCTCCCACTTTGGGGGCCTCCCAAAACTACGAAGGACCCAGAATGATTGGGGACTCGAAGTGCCTTTCCTAATCCACAGGACCTAAAGCCTAAGGAGCTGTAGCAATCATTTTGACTTTTCCTACAATCTTGCAATTGCCCTACTCTGTCATTTTCAGGGGCTCGAAATCCTAGTAAAAGGAAGTCCAAACTTCTTCACCTGACATCCGGAATGCTCCATGCTGTCACCCAAAGTGCCCCTCAAGCCAGGTTGTTCTCTGCTGCTATAGGGTGGCAGAATCCCCAAGTTGCCCCTAGCATCTAGTCCCGCCCTCTCCATAGTAACAGCCTTGGCTGGGGACAGGCTGCCCAGGTAAAAGGTGACTTCTGAGCCAGTTTCGATTCCCTTCCCTCTGAGAACCAAGCACGCTCCCATTATGTACATCGGAAAGTCATGACCTCCTTTGACAAAAGACACATCTGCTCCTTCCTTTCTCTGAAGATGGTCCCACATCGGTTCAGTTTCACTTAGAGGAATTTCTTGAGCATCTGCCAAGTGCTGGACACTCTGCTAGACACTGGAGATGCAGCATTAAACGGAGCTCAAAGTCTAGAATTTTCTGCAGTGATGGAAACGTTCTCTACCTAAGATGATAGCCACTAACTATGTGTAACTAACTGCTGAGCGTCATTAATGTGGCAAGTGCAGCCAAGAGACTTTTTATTTGTATTTCATTTCAATTCTTTGAGCGTAACCACACGAGGGCACCCCCTTAGCGGTATGAGACCGGTGCCTATCACACTGGAGACAGCAATAAGAAGGCAAGCACAGGGTGACGGGAGGGAACTCTATGAGGGGGAGGAATTAGGACTTTAGAGATGCTAACTGGGCCGCATCTCGAGGGATGGGGAGGAAGTCACCAGGCGGACAGGAGCAGGCAGCACACGGGGCACCCTATGAGTCCACTCAGTTGGGGAAATTCCAAGCTGTCCAGTGTATGTCTGGCAGGAGAGGGGCCCCGTGGTCAGGAGAGGCAGCTGGAGGGCAGGGCCAGGTTCTGAAGGGCTGCTGTTGTCCTCCTAAGGAATTTGGGCTTTACCCTGGTGCTGATGTGGAACTCCAGTGGGCTTTGAAGGAGCTGGGTTTTGGCAGAATCACCTTACCGCAGTAAGGACGGTGGCTTGAAAAAGAAAATGGATTCAGCAACATACATTTTTAAATACAGACACATTATTAGAGTCTAGGTTAAGAAGCACTTTGAACTACACTGAAGATGCAGTTCACGTAACCCAGTAAGATAAGAGGTAGAGAGATTCCAATAGCTTTGTGACAATTCATTTCAGCATGACCTCTTCCACGCGAGCCCCTCCTTCAGAAATCATGCAAATGGCGAGGATGTTTAAAATATGTTTGAGAACTTCAGAGGCACTTTAGAAATACTAGCATTTCTCGGGGCGCCTGGGTGGCTCAGTCGGTTGAGCGGCCGACTTCGGCTCAGATCATGATCTCGCGGTCCGTGAGTTCGAGCCCCGCGTCGGGCTCTGGGCTGACGGCTCAGAGCCTGGAGCCTGTTTCAGATTCTGTGTCTCCCTCTCTCTGACCCTCCCCTGTTCATGCTCTGTCTCTCCCTGTCTCAAAAATAAATAAAACGTTAAAAAAAATTAAAAATAAAAAAGAAATACTAGCATTTCTCGGGGGTCTGGGTGGCTCAGTCAGTTGAGCCTCCAACTCTTGATTTTGGCCCAGGTCATGATCCTAGGGGATTCTAGGGGATCCTAGAGGATTCTCTCTCTCTCTCTCTCTCCCATGTCCCTCCCCCCCTCCTGAAATCTCTACCCCTCTCTCCCTCTAAAATAATAAAAAGAAGAAACACTAGCATTTCTAATATCAAATCACCAAACATTCATGTCTCTTAATCAAAGGAGGACCCATAGAAACCAGTCCCTGGCCTGCCTGCTGTTCTGTGTTTCCTTTCAAGCCTTCAAGATCTATAATTCAGATCTTTCATTAATTTACCCTAACATGTCCCCTGTCATTTGCAGAAGACCAATGGTCTGTGTTTGCATTCATCGGCTCTTTGCAACA